CAGTGTATATGTGTGTGTGTATGCATAATATATGTATAAAAATACTATACACTATGATCTGTTTACAATATAGTTATTTGTTCAATTTTTGAGATGGTAGATCTAACAGCAAAAATGACACCCTCTATCAAAACATATTAAAATCTTAACTACAATGCAATAACATGGGGTTTTTTTTAATTTGATAGTTAAAATAATTAAAAATACTATAACAATCAGTTTAATTCAAAAACAGATTTACACTATTGAAAATATTAAAATTAATAAGCAACATATGGAGATACAGTAATGGATCTGCACATAAATGCCAATGTTGTAAGGATGGCAATAAAAACATACTGTAGTAAATTCTAGAAGTTCCCTGATTTTGCACTGCCTGCCTGAACTCTATCGTTGGTGCCTGCTGTTGTCTTTAGGCAAGGTCTGCATCGTATCTCAAATGTGTTAAACCAAGGTAGGTCTTAAAAATGATAAAATATTAGCATTTTGTGAGCAATATATTTTCCTTTTGTTTCATGCTCCTTTTTTTACATACTTTATGCTAATGTTTGATTATTTTAAGACCTACAGTTGGGTAAACACAGTTTAACACAAGAAGAAATATATGATTTATCCCACCATCTTTTCTTCTCAAAATACTTCTGACCAACAATACAGTTCAGGCATGCAGTGCGAGATCAGCAAGCTTCCTACCCTGGTAAAGTTTAATGTCCTTGATTCAATCAATATAAAGTGGAATTGATATAGAAAAATCATATGCCTGAGGTTAAAAAACACAGAATAATCACTTTTGCCATTTAAAAGTGAAGTGTATTTTACATTTTAAGTGAAGTATAGGCTCTTAGTGAGTGTGAACTGTGGTGCTGGAACCTGTCCTTGCACTTTTCTTTCTTCTTCATAATCTTCCTCACAGACTCTTTATGTGAAGATCTTTATAGTGATTATTTAAAATTTCTGTCAACTTACTCATGTAGACAGATCCAGATTCCATATTTAGCTTTGCCTTTCTTCCGGGAGATGAGGCAAAAGCAAAGAGGAAATCAGCATCTTCAGGTATAAATTGACTGTCACCACTCGGGTCATTATCGTAAGTAATACTAGAACTATTAATATTTAGATACATTTTAAAATCAAATTTATCATCGTAATTTCCACCTTGACATGCCTGTATAAAAAACAGTTTAGGCTAGCTAGCAAGACTTGGACAGTTCGAAGTGCTCATAATTCTAGCAATGTCCATGATTTCACATGGGTTTCCATCAACACCAGTGACTTTCCCACAGTTGCCATGACTCAGGATACAGCACACAAAACAGTCAAACTCTGAATGGTCTTCCTTACTTACTTCATCCATCACACGTCTCATTTCTTCAGCAGTTAAGTTGTCGGTTGGACTTTTCTCCCATGCAGTAAACCCCAGATTGTTAATAAATGTTTCTTCAAGCTTTTCTGTGAATAAAACATTTTTGTAGATAGAATATATTTTTATATATTTAATCATAACCTTTTAAAAAGATTGCTCTCAAACTCAAATAGTCTGGTTGTAAAACTGCTGAAATGAACTTTAGCGGGAAAAAAGTAAAGGAAAATTAATTTTTGGTTTTTCTGAATCAGCATACCCTATAGTGTCTCAGAAAGAAAATTCCCATGCCTAGGGCTTGGGCAATTTTTTTTACAGCACTTTGAAATTTTGACCTAAAATACCCCCTCATCCTCTTCATTATCATCCTCATGATGAGGATGATGATTGATAATGATGATTAATAAGGATGATGATGATGTGGTTAATGATGAGGACAAGGATGATGATGGATGATGATGATAGATGATGATCGTAATGAGGATGATGATGAGGATGATAATGACAATGATGATGATGAGGACAATGATGATGAATGAGTGATGATGATAAGTAGGATAAGGATGAGGTTGATGATGATGAGAATAAGGATATTGATGGATGAGGGTGATTAGTAGGATGAAGGTGATGGTGATGATGTTAACAATGATTGGTGAGGATGGTGATGAGGGTGACGATGATGGATGAGGTAAGGTGCTCTCAAACTCAAATAGTCTGGTTGTAAAACTGCTGAAATGAACTTTAGCGGGAAAAAAGTAAAGGAAAATTAATTTTTGGTTTTTCTGAATCAGCATACCCTATAGTGTCTCAGAAAGAAAATCCCCATGCCTAGGGCTTGGGCAATTTTTTTACAGCACTTTGAAATTTTGACCTAAAATACCCTATTTTAAACTATTTAAGATGGGGGTAGGGGAAATATATTTATGTTTTTGGTCACTTTTACAAATACCGTGGATATGAAATGTAACAACAACTTGGCTAAATAGTTACTCATCACTCTCATTAAAAAATTTGATCGGAATGATGACGTCATCATGATAAATTCCAAGATGGCATCCATTAAGGTGGTAAAAACTATGTTTTTAATGTAAAAATAATTTTATTGGTATCAAAGTACAATATAATCCCAATACAATATTATACATACAGGAATAAAAAAAAAAATAGTCGTTCAGTGGTGGCTCCAGGGGGTCTGATAGGGTGGGTCCAAACACAGGGCCAACTTGACCCTCGGTCAGAGTCCCGGAATAAACTTCCCTGGGCTTATGGGAGAGTTTCTTTTTAGCTTTGTATGGCCCAAAATTTTGCTTTTAAGCCAAAATATTAGGGATTGGCAATTAAAATAATGTTATATGGATAAGCAAATCATTATTTGTGGTGTGGCAACCTTGTCAAGGCATCGGACGATGGGATTCTAGGCCTATCAGACGGGAATTCCCCACCTCCCAAGCAAATTTGGAATGATGACGTCAACACACCGAATTCCAAGACTACGACAATCAAAATTAAAGAAAATGTTTACCTATTTAAATTTAATCTTTCTACACTACATTTTTCTTCATCATCATTAGTATACTATTATGTTATTACTCTGTAATATTATTAATAATATAGTATATCATTATTCTTATGCGTTTAAAAAAATTTATAGTTTATAATTCACATTAATATTAGCGCTAGTACTGTTATTCTTAATATACTGATGTCATTATTATTATCATCATCTTCCTTATTGTCATCCCCATCCTCATTATATTCCCCATTATAAGGAGGATGTTGATGATGATGATGAGGAGAAGAAAGATGATGAGGATGATGGTGAGGAAGAAGATGATGGTGATTACGACTGATGATAATGGTTGTTGATGATAATGATTGTGATGATGGTGATGAGAATGATAGAAAATGGTTGATGAGAATGATGATGATGATGATGATGAATGATGAGAATCATCCCTCTCATCCTCACCCTTGTCCTTATCTTCATTCTCGTCGTCCTCATCTTCATCATGATGATGGTAGTGACTGATGATGAAGAGGATACGGATGAAAATGATGATGGTAATGATGACGATGATGATGATATTAATGAGGATGATGGTAATGATGATTATGATTATGGTGATTAAGATAAGAATGATGATGAGGAGGATGAGGATGATGCGGCTGATGAAGAGAAGGAAGATGATGAGGTAGATGATGATTGATGATGGATGATGATGAGGAAGAAAAGGATGCTGATAAGTATGGTGAGGATAATGATGATAATAAGGAGAAGGATTAGGATGATGAGTTTGATGATGATGAAAATAAGGATGATGATGATTATGATTGATGATAATGGTCGTTGATGAGGGTGATCGTGATAATGATGAGGATGATGTTGATGAGGTTAATGATGACGAATGATGAGAAACATCCCGTCTGCCCCTCATCCTCATCTTCATTTTTGTCGTCCTCATCCTCTTCATTATCATCCTCATGATGAGGATGATGATTGATAATGATGATTAATAAGGATGATGATGATGTGGTTGATGATGAGGACAATGATGATGATGGATGATGATGATAGATGATGATCGTAATGAGGATGATGATGAGGATGATAATGACAATGATGATGATGAGGACAATGATGATGAAAGAGTGATGATGATAAGTAGGATAATGATGAGGTTGATGATGATGAGAATAAGGATGATGATGGATGAGGGTGATTAGTAGGATGAAGGTGATGGTGATGATGTTAACAATGATTGGTGAGGATGGTGATGAGGGTGACGATGATGGATGAGGTAAGGATGATTATAATGATTAGACAACAATGAGAATGATGATGACGATGATGATAATACTGTAATGATATCAATAGTGGTAATAAAATTATTATAAATAATATTATTATATAACAGTACTAACAATGTAATTCATTCTAACATTAAAATATAATTTTGAAATAACAGAAATACAATACAGTAATATATACATAATATTATTAATGATTTCAACAATAATAAATAAGCATAATACTATTAAAATAATAATATTTATATATATTCTATATGTGATTGCTTTGATGAGATTGTATTTTGTACAATAGTAATAATAGTAATAATAATAATAATAATAATAATAATAATAATAATAATAATAATAATAATCTTACAAAAATAACCATTTTCTCTGCCAAGATGAACGCCATCTTGGAAATTGGCATTATGATCATTTCAATTAAAATTGATAAAGACAGTAAAGAGTAACTAATTAACTAA